TCTCTCTCTAGGTTGCCTGTTGTGTAGTCTCAAAATAATTTTCTCTTCTATATAGGTTGCTTGGTTGTATAACATCCGTGGGAGTGATGTGTCCTACTGCCCCGTTGTTCATGCATTTGCTATAGTAACATCCAGCTCTGCTTTCATTTATGTGGACAAGAGAAAGGTGTCAGAACAGGTTTGTTCTTTTGTTTATGTTTCATCTTTTTATTTCTTCTCATTGTTGTACAATAAACAGTGTATCTTTAATGGCTTTCCATGTGAGAGGAATTTTTTCCCTTAGAAGTTATGAACTTTAGCAGGTTATGCAGTTAGACTTTTTGTATCTATGTAACCAGGTACATTCTCATATGAAAGAGTATGGAATCGAAGTTCGTGATTATGGGGCTGTGATCTCAGATGTGGCGTTGCTTGCTTCTAACCAACTTGATTCTTCATCAGCAGTTAAAGGAACTCAAGCTGAAGTTATAAAGGAAATAGAAATCAATTCTACTCGAGAGGACATCACTGGTGATGATAAAGACAGAGGAACAAGAAGGAATAATGATCACATATGGGTGGACCCTGGTTCATGCTGCTATGCTTTGTATTCAAAACTGGATGCTGATAAAGTCATCATGCAGCCATCACCGTTGGCTCTTGCAAAAGCTCTAAAGGTACAGTGCTTTCTTGCTAGTTATTATTTGACATTAGAAATAAACTTGCACGACGAAACTTCTGTTAATGGAACGGATACAGTTGGACCTCACTCTCCTGAATCAATTATAGGCTGCATGAGATCTGCATTAAAACATTTTGTTACTAATGAAGCTTTAAGCATAACCAATAATACTTTGATATCAAGTTCTAAATGTTGTCCTATAAACCTCTTAAAGCATCAGATTATCTGATTCATTTTATCTAATGGTTAGGTTCTGTGCATATAATTACATTCCACTTGCATCTGACAATGGAGCAATTAAATCATTTTATTTTGTTGGGCTAATGTTAATGTGTTGTGTTCTTTCCTGATGCTAGAACCCAGTTGAGTTAGATGGGTTAAAAAAGGCTCACATTCGTGATGGTGCAGCTGTTGTGCAGTTTCTAGTCTGGTTGGATACGCAGGTACACCATGGGACCTATAACTTTTTATTTATTTATTATAGTACTTAGGTAAGTTAGGAATCCAACTTCTTTTACAAGTCAAATTCCTATATACATTAATATTTTCAGATAAATCTTCCTATAAAATAGAATCATTGTTGACTTCCATAACTGGAAGTTCTTTTTATTTTATGAGACTGATTTGTATTTGGTTTACTATTAAAATTTTCTTTAATTTTCTCGTATATATATTCAGTTGTTGCAAATTATGTATCAAAAATAAAAATTTAGAAAACAAAAAATTTAATTACAAATTTTTATAGTATCAAAGTAGGATCTCCGAACCAAGGAATTTTTTTTTCCTCTCTTGATGATGACCAAATACAGAATGGCTACAATAAGAACTAGTGACCTCTTTGAAGTAAAATTTTGGTTTGAAGAAATTATTTCTATCGTCAAAAGCCATTGAAACTTTGATCACCAATCACAAGCTAAATAGAAACAATTTCATTCAATGGTCTTAATCGATTAAGTTGTTTATCTACGGAAGAGAGAGAGAAGAATACTTCACCAAAGAAGGCACCTACCGAGTGTCGAAGATCCAAAATTCTAAAGTTGGAAGGCTGAGAATAATCATGTCGTAGCTGATTAACTCCATGACAAATGATATTGGTGAGAATTTATTGTTATACGGGACACATGAAATTTGGAAAGCAGTCAAAGAATTCTATTCAAACAAGAAACACATAAGAAATCTTTGCTGTTGAATCTAGCCTTTATGACTTACTACAAGGAGATCTATTCGTAACTTAGTACTACAGTATACTCACCCGTCACTGATAACGGTTCGATGTCTTTGAGGAACTTGTATGGAACTATCCAGATGATACAAACAGTACAAAGAAGTTATGGAAAGAAAAAAAATTTCCAAATTTCTCATGTGATTAAATAAGAATCTAGATGAACTTTGGGAAAAAATACTTAGAATAAAACTATTACCTTGTGTTCATTAGATATTTTCTGAAGTAATGAGAGAAGAAAGTAGAAAAAAGGTGATGTTTGGAGATGGACTCATAAGCCCTGCTATTGAGTAAACCTTGACTGTTTGGGCCCTCTTCCCAATTTAGACAACCGACAAAGAGAGGAAATACTTTGGTGTGATCCTTACAGAAAACTAGGTCATACTCGAGACAATTGCTAGAAAATTTATAAAAATAAATTACAGACCAAATCAGTTGCAGACAAAGAACGTAAGAGAAATCATGTTTTTATTGATGAAATTGTTTCCATTAAGGAATCATGCCCATTTGCAAAGAGCATATAGAAGCCCTACAAAAAATGTTCCTATATTAAAACTCAGACAAAGAACGTAAGAGAAATCATGTTTTTATTGATGAAATTGTTTCCATTAAGGAATCATGCCCATTTGCAAAGAGCATATAGAAGCCCTACAAAAAATGTTCCTATATTAAAACTCTATCGATAAGAATATAGGATTTGGAACAACAGTCCAAAAAGCCTTTTAGTGCTCCTAATGTTACTTCAGGAAATTAAGATACTTGAATCATTGACTAAGGTGCATTTTGACTATATGATAAGAAATAAAATGTTATTCCAAAAATATAATACATGTAATGGATGAATCTCACTCAAAAGTAGACAGAATATGTGATATCCCCATCTCAAAGGAATTAATCTCAAAGAGTACTTCATGTACCTCATTTAGATTGTAACTTATTATCAGTAAACAAACTTATCCAATATCATAATTGTATTGCTAAATTTTTCTCAAACTTAGATTGACAAGGATAAGGTGTATTTCAGACTCACTCTTCAAAGATAATAGACTTTTCAGAAGACAATCCTATAGTGCAACATATATTGAGTCCCAAGATAGTCTAATTTACTTTGACAACTTTAGAATAATTATATTATGACATTATCGATTAGAACATTCAAACTTTATATATATTCGAAAATCGTTTCTTTCTTTATTTTAGAAATAAAAATATGAAAATTTTTTATTGTGAAGTAGTTCAATTATCAAAAGATATTCATTTTATATGTTTCATATTGCTATGCAAAATCTCTTAACTGTTTGCTATGGTACATAGTGATGTGTAGGGACAATTTAGAATCAATATATTGTTGGTAGTAGAATGTTTATATTTTTCGTAGACGATAATACAAAAATTACATGGCTATTTCTCATGGAAAAAAAATAAGAAGTTGACTATATATTCAAAAAATTCAATAACATAATTCAAACTTAATTCTAGACAAAAATACAAGATTTGAAGGCAGACAACGCAAACGAACACTTCGAAAAGGAGTTCAATATATATCTAGAAAAAAAGTGGATTGTTCATCAAAGTTCATTTGTTGATACTCCTCACGAAATAGGATAGCTGAAAGGAAAAATAGACATCTTTTATAAATTTTCCTATCTGTCATGTTTAGAAATCAAGTTCCAGAAGTTGCCTGGTCTCTCATGTTCACAAATCAAGTTCCAAAGTTTTTCTAAGGAGAAGTTGTTCTAATTGCAACTTATCTTATTAATAAAATATCTTTCCGGATCCTTGAGTTCCAAAACCCCTACCAAGTTATGCTCTAATATTTTTCTACCACTCGACTTCTATCCACCCCACTTACCAAAGTCTTTGGTCATTCAACCTTTATTCACGTACACAACCTTCACAGAAGCACAATAGAACCTAAAATCAATAAAATGCATTTTTCTTAAATATTCATCAAACCAAAAGGAGTATAAATGTTGTTCATCAGTTGTCCAGAAGTTCTATAACTTCATGGATGTTACTTTTCATGAAAACCAATCATACTACAAATTCGATATTTAGGGGAAGAAGAATATACAAGGATCCCAATTTTGAGACTACCATTTAATATCTTCATCTTCCTTCCTCCAACTAAATCTATTCAGTTTTCATAACATATGAATATAGATGAGACATTTGAATCTAAACCTACTCACCACATTAAAAAACTTGAACTTCAGACCTATACCAGAAGGGATAAGAACCAAGAAGAGAAAGAGTCACAACCATCTTATTAGAGTCATGAATCCAATTTGGATTCAAATGCAACATCATTGAATATTTTAGGTAATCCAAGGTAAGATTTCTCCCTTGATAATTTGTATGCTAATAAACATATTTCTCTAATAAAACAAAAAAGAGCATGCACTGATCATCTAATTCACAATGTTTTTTTACTCATTTGGCATTTGTTATCAATATTGGTAAAATACAGATGCAAAGGACGATGCACGAAGTATTGAAAGTACCCAAATGGAAAATTGCAATCATGGAGGAAATTCAAGCTTTTGAAAATAATGGGACTTGAGAAATAATAAAATTACTACCTGGGAAATGCCCAGTCAGCTGTAAATGAATATTCACAATCAAGTATAATACTGATGGTAGCATCAATAGGTTCGAAGGTCAATTCCATAAGATTGGGTAAAAGATTTGGCTATTAATCAAGCTTCGAACCTGTTGATGCTACCATCAATATTATGCTTGATTGTGAACATCCATTTACAATCGATTAGGCATTTCTCAGGTGGTAATTTTGCTATTTTTGAATTCATAAGTATTTCAACCAGATATGAATAATGTTTTCTTAGTGGAGATTGGAGGAAAAAGTCTATATGGTAATTCATATGGTTTTGAAAGTTAAGTCACTAACAAAAAGGTTTGTAAACTCAAAAAGTTTCTTTATAGACTTAAACACTCTCTAAGAGTATGGTTTGACTAATTTACTAAGCTAATCAAGAGATTTGAGTATATCCAAATATCAAATATATCATATTATGTTTGTCAAGCGTGATCCTTCAGGAAAAAAAAGGTAATCCTCATCGTATATGTAAATAATACAAGGGATGATACAAAAGAGATACTCAGATTAGAAAAGGTTTTAGCTAAAAAATTTAATATTAGACTTTAGAATTCTTAAATACTTCTTGGAAATGAACATTAATAGGTCAAGGAAAAGAATATCAATTTCTCAACGAAAATATGTGTTGGATCTTCTAAAAGAGATTGGAATGCTTGGATGCAAGCTCAAAGAAACACTCATGGATCCGAACATTAAATTGGAAAGTAAAATTGACATTGTTTATGTTGACAAAAAAAGATACCATAGTGATTAAATTATTTTACCTCACATAACAGATATATTAGTTTTTTCATTAATGTGGTAAATCAATTCATGAATAACTCAATTGAAAAACATATAAAAGTAGTGTTTTGAAATCTCAAGTATTTAAAAATAACAGCTGAGCAAGAACTGTTTTTAAAGAAAAATAGAAGGCAAAAAACTGAAATATAAATTGATGCAGACTGAGCTGTTTTTGTAACTACTAGAAGATCCAACTTTGGATATTGTACATATGTTTAAGAAAATCTAGTTACTTGAAGAAACAAGAAGTGGCCTGTAGTATGAAAGGAGTAGTCAGAGGCTGAGTTTGGAGTTTTAAGGCGTATCTTGAAAAGAATGTGACTAGAAAGGGTATTGGTGAATTTAGAATTCCCTCTTTAGAGTTTATTAAAGTATGATGTGATGATCAATCCACAACAAACATAATCATGATCGAACTAAGCACGCGGAGATTGATAGACTTTTTGTTGAAGAAAAGATAGAGCCATGAGCACTATCCTTGTTGTAGATTTAGTCATGTCATCAGACCATAAATATTTTCATCAAGGCACTACCTAGGAAAACTTTCAAAGAATTGAGTTCCAAGTTTGGTTTGTTCAACATCTTCAAACTAGCGTGAGGAGTAATGTAGGAAAATGCTTGTAGAAGTCAAATTCCTATACAAATTGATATCTTCAGAGAAATATCCCTATAAAGCAGAATCTTCCATGCTTGGAAGTTCTTTTTCTTTTATGGGATTGATTTATATTTAGTTTCCCACTAAAACTCTTTTTAATTTTCTTCTATATATATATATCCCGATGTTGTAAATAAAGTATCATACATAAAACTTCAGGAAAAAGAAAATTTAATTACAAATTATCAATAAGTAATATCAGATATTTTATGTTAAATATACTCTCTCCTTTGAAGCTATTGTTTAAGATTATTATTAAGTTATAATCTCAAAAGTTTATGACATTAGGGTGCAGCATCATATTGATTTTTGTATACATATGGTAGCTGTTAAAACTGATTTGGTGATCATTTGTTTTAAAATCTAAACTAGTAAAAAAAAAGTGCTTACTATATCTTTGGACTTCAACACCCCTTCACATGTAAGCTAGAAATATTTCATGTATTTGCATGCAGGTCTGGTTAATGATGAAAATACA